AAAGTTGCATTGTTGTGTATATAATTTTTAGGTGTCAGCATTCATGGTAACATGTTAAAACTTCTGGGGATGACTGTTTATAAATTATATCTTTCGTTTTCGGTTGAATGATACATATTAGAATTGTTCAAGTGTTTGACAATCCTATTGTCTTCCTTGCAATAATTTCATGGAGAAAAGAAAGTGGGCTTAGCATATAAATGAATGAAAAATGTGGGCGTTGATTTTTAACCACACAACTTGTTACCCAAAAGACAACCTAAGAGGGGGTGAATTAGGTTTTTACAAATAAAAATAATAATACCTTAATAAAAATTATGACTAGCACAATAGATAAATATAGTTAATGAAATAAAAATAATTAAAACAAGTGTTCTAATAACTATGTCAATTAATGATTTTAGCACAATAAAAATATGAAATATAACTATGACAATTTAAATAAAATAAAGAGATAAGGGAGAGAGAGACAAACAAATTTATAGTGGTTCGGCTTTAACTCGGCGTACGTCCACTCCTCAAGTGTCACTTGAGATTTTTCACTATTCTCTAGTTTCACAGGGTGCTAGCACCCTTTTCACAGATGGAGCAATCCTCCACAGATTTTACACAGACTTTCTAAGTCAAGAACACTGAGTATACTACATTCTTACAAGGTTTAAAAAAATGTGTTTTTGCTTTCACAGAAAGTTATAAGAATTATCTCTCAAAGATAGATATAAAAATGAGACTCTGATTTTTTCTGTAACCCTCACACAGGAAAGATGGGCATAAAGCTATATGACTTAATGTATAATTTCTGAGAGAGGATGTAAACATAAATTGAAGAACATTTCTCAGAAAATTTTTCAGAGAATAAATGTGAGTGATTATAGATCAAATAATATTTTCTGATTTTTTTTGTAACTTGTTTACATTAGAGTCTTTGGTATATATAATGAAACTTATACCCGCTTATAGCCGTTGTACTCCATCATTACTAATTTGAATATCTTCCACTCCATCATTACTAATTTGAATATCTTCACTTGAACCTTTTGAACTACTGTCGTGCTAGGCTGTTTGAACCTCAGTTTTTGGGCTGTTTGAATCTCTGTTTTGGGCTGTTTGAACTCCTGATTTAATCAAATATTAAATACATTCTAACAATATTTGGGATAAAAAGTTTAGGTGAGAAATAATAGAACAAAATAAATTTTGATTCTATTTTTCTCTTTCAAATAAATTAAAACATAATTAAATAAATCATCAAAATAAATGTTGATTCTATTTTTCTCTTTCAAATAAATCATCAAAATAAATTTTAATTCTATTTTTCTCTTCCAAATAAATTAAAACATAATTAAATAAATCATCAAAATAAATAAGTCTAACACAACTAAATAGGAGCTGGAGAACATGCGGCAGAATAGATTAAGCCAACCACCTGCCAACAAGAAAATGAGAATACTGTGGTGGTTCGTCTATCCAGGGGCACTCCGACAATCAAGTTAGTCAAACAATCTCTTAAAGATATCACATAAGTACTAAATTCACCAAATAAAGCGTCTCAAAATAAAGGATACCTTAGACCCATGGGGTGTCTCACTTTTATATTGATTTTATATTGATTAGTATCCAACTTCCCTTAGAAGTCTTACTTCATGAGACTCTATCCTTTACAAGGATAACATCTATCACAGCTCACACTATTCAGATTAAGATAAGCTTTCTTAGAGTCCCACGTCTATCCAAATAGGTAGTTTGATGTCATCTAGGACTCTTGCCCTTTATCTGAATATCTAGGATTTCGGCATTACCGCACTAAACCTTGGCAATGCTGCAATCACCTCGGCAAACATGACTCACCCACGCGGCACCTCGGCTGACATCTTGAAGGCACCTTGGCCACTTGACGTCATTCTCAAAATACATCCCTGATGTTATAACTGTGCAATCCATTATATCTCCTTATAGTCAATCCAATATGCTCATGTTTCTAGCAACTCAATATCTCAGAAGATAAGCACATGAAGCAAAATGACCAAGTTACTGCTGCCAAAGCCGAGGTATGGAAAGCCAAGGTCATTGCTAAGGCCGTCGAAAAGAAAGTTGTTGAAGTTTGAGAAGAAACTAGCAGAGGCACTAACCAGCAAGGAGTAGACGCCAAGGTCTATCAAGAAAGCCAAGACTTTGTCTGAGATCAATATAATGAATAGGTCAACATCTCGGATAAAACCATCATCTTGAATCATGTCATCTCAGGTATAAGTGTTATCTCGGATACCTTCATCTCATCAATGTTTTTGAAAATGTCACCAAGTATCACTTTCAAATCACTGACCCAATCTTTACTAACTCATCTCTGCTCTCTACCCCCTAATGTGAATGTAAATATAAATTAGGTTCACATTAGAAATACATCATCTAAATTTTGTCTAAGTTTGACTTAGACATCCATGACCAGAGTCATCATGTTTAGCTCGTCTAAATAGAATGTTGAAGGCTTAATCTTAGTGCACCGAGACTACGACATACCTCGGCTTTTTGTACAAACTAGCTAGATTATGGCCGGTTTTGTCTTGTTTCTCGTTGAAACATCACTTTAACTTGGTTCAGCTCTGCCTTCCCGACAAGCCTAAGTTAAACACACAGTTTCTCGTTAGAACATCCCTTAGTTTCAGCTCTACCTACTTGGTAAGCCTAAGATAACTCGCTCAGGGGTCGTTTCCCACTTAATGGTCATTCTTTCGGTTTCATTTCATTGGTCATTCCCTTCGATTTATTTTTAACTTCGGTTGAGGTTATTGGCATCATTAGAGTCGAGCTCCAAATTTCATCAAGCCACATTCCAAGGCCTCGATAATCTCTTACCGTCAAGATCTTCTAATCTTGGGTAAGCTTTGTTTTATCTCAACTCTGTTCCCTTTTGGTAAGTTATGATCTTTTCAAAATTGTTCACCTAGATTGAACTCATTTCATATTGGATCTGCCAACCTAGGCTGAGGCCTTCTCATCTTGAATCTGTACGCTTAAGTTGAGCTCCTGTCTTCTCGGACCTACTTATGTAGGCCAAGATCTTGTCTTCTGGGATTTGAGATCTGCTCACTTAGGCTGAGCTCTTGTTTTCTCAAACCTACTCATCTAGGCTGAGATCTTGTCTTCTCGGATCTGGGATCTGCTCAAATAGGTTGAGCTCTTGTTTTTTTAGGCCTACTTATCTTGGCCGAGATCTTGTCTTATTGGATTTGGGATCTACTCACTTAGGTTGAGCTCTTGTCTTCTCGAACCTACTCATCGAGGATGAGATCTTGTCTTCTCAGATTAGAGATCTACTCATATAGGTTGAGCTCTTGTTTTCTCAGACCTACTCATCTAGGCCAAGATCTTGTCTTCTAAGATCTAGGATCTGCTCACTTAGGTTGAGCTCTTGTCTTTTTGGAACTACTTATCTAGGCCGAGATCTTGTCTTCTGAGATCTGAGATCTGAGATCTGCTCACTTAGGCTGAACTCTTCCATCTGGGATCTGCTTTACCTAGGCCATGTTCTTCTATCTTGGATCTGCTTCACCTAGGCCATGTTCTTCCATTTGGGATCTGCTCCATCTAGGTCGATGTCTTTTCTACTTAGAGGTCATCTTCATCTCCTCGGGAGCACTCATGCCCCCATTATCTTTGCATTCATCCCTTCTGGAAGGGTTATCATTTCGTCAATGTTGATGCATTCTCCATCTTCCCTGAACTCGTCGTCGCCGACATGTTGATCTTGCACGATGATGGCCATCTATTCTAACTAAGTTCCCATAGATGGCGCCAATTGGGGGTGTTGATTTTTGACCACACAACCAAACAGGGAACTTAGTTGGAGAGCACGCGACAGAATAAATTAAGCCAACCACCTGCTAACAAGAAGACAAGAATATTGCGGTGATTCGCCCATCTAGGGACACTTTGACAATCAAGTCAGTCAAACAATCTCTTAAAGATATCACACAACTACTAAATTCACCAAATAAAGTGTCTCAAAATAAAAACATACATTAGACTCATGGAAGTGCCTCACTTTTATATTGATCAATGTCCAACTTCTTCTAGAAGTCTTACTTCATGAGACTTTATCCGTTATAAGGATAACATCTATCACAACTCACACTATTTAGATTAAGATGAACTTTCTCAAGAGTCCCACCTCTATCCAAATAAGTAGCTTGATGTCATCTAGGACTCTTGCCCTCTATCCGAATATCTAGGATTCCGGCATTACGGCACCGAACCTCGGCAACGCTGTAATCACTTTGGCAAACATGACTCAGCCACGTGGCACCTTGGCCGACGGGATTGGGGATGCTGCTACGCAGGGTGCGCAGCAGCATCTGCTGTGCGGCGAAATGGGCCCATTTTGGGGCCCATTTTGATAATCCGAACCGTTCACATTTTAGAATACATCAAGTAGAACATGTCTGTAAAAAATCAAGTTAATTGGATATTGTTTACCCATTCATCCACTCACATTTCTATCTACAAAAATAAATAATAATGGAGATTTAAAGTATTAAAATAAATACAAATATAAGTGGATGAATAGGTAAACGATATCTGATTAACTTGATTTTTTACAGGCATGTTTTACTTGATATATTCTAAAATGTGAACGGTTTGGATTATCAAAATGAATCCCGAAATAGGCCCATTTTGCTGCACAGCAGATGCTGTTGCGCATCCCGTACAACAGCATCCCCAAATTGTTGGCCGACATCTTGAAGGCACCTTGACCACGTCATGTCATTCTCAAAAACACAAGGAAAGCAAGAATAATATAGGAAGGAAAAATCTTTCTCTGAATTTTATTACTTGAAACAATAACTGAATAGACTCAAAGGCTTACAACTCATTTTATAGCAAACATTGGTTTGTGAACAAGCCACACAATCTACGCCCCAAATCAAGCCAATATTACACGAAGTAAAAAATTGTTAAAAAAATAGCAGACTTACTGAGAGAATATAAAAGAAACCTCCAAAAAAACAAAAAACATGGGTGAAAATGGATTTATTTAGACCCTGAAATCAAGCATTCAAAATTTTTCAAAATATAAATTTCCTAAACGATCGGGTTGAATATTGTAAAATCTTTATCTGTTTTTTTTTTTTTTTTTTTTGACTTGACCTGACCTGACAGCTCGGTAAAATCAGCAAAATTTCTGTTTTGCCATGATACTGTCAAACTGCTCCATAAACTTGCTGCCAATCACCATTGCATCACAAGCTAGTGTTGAGATACATCTTTTGCTCTGGTTGAAATCTTTGATTGGCATTACTGTCATCATTAAAGCAGCCTACTATTCAATCCTTTCTTTCCTCTTGGTCTCTTCCATAAGCAACCAGTCTTCAATCTTCATACAGACCTTCCACAATTCTTCAAGGTGAAGTGCATTTTCTTAACTCCAAAAGTCCCACCAGTTTGAACTGCCACATGACCTATCAAAAAGACCACTCGACTCAAAATTGCTCCATTTTTCGGGCAATGCCAGAGAACCATCTACTTGGCCACCCATGTTGTGGAGTTCTGGTTCACGGCGTGTATCTTTACTATCAGAGCCACCAGATGTGATATTTTCCTTCGAATCCTTGCTTTTAATACCTTGATTATGAGGTTTTCCTAGCAGATCAGTCAAATTCTGCAGCTGTATAACACAAAAATGAGACATTTAAGACATCTTTGTAGTAAGAAGAGGAAGAAGAATTAGATGGGTACACCTACCTGTATGAGCAAGGACTGTTTCTCTATCTTCAAGGACTCGAACTTAGAATGTAGATTGTCATAATTGGCTTTAAGTACTTTGTATTCTTGCTCCATTTGCTTTGACTTCCATCTAGCTCTTCTGTTCTGAAACCATATAGCTATCTGCCGAGGTTGCAGTCCAAGCTCTCTAGCCAGTTGCACCTTCTTCCTTGGTTCAAGCTTCGTCTCTGATTCAAACATGGACTCTAATGACCTTATTTGTTCATCACTAAACCTCCTCTTGTTCTTGTTTTTCTTTTTCCTTAAATTTTGGAGCGGCTTTGGGAATGGTAAAGATTCGATTTTGGTGGCTTCTAGTGGTTGTGGCGCACAATAATACTCTTCTCCTTCCATAATTCTGTTGTGTTCAATATTTTATGTTCTAGATGAAGAGTTTGGCTTTAAGATATATAGTTAGCCATTTTGAAGCTATTTAGCATAGCTGCTTACAAGTCATTGGGGCTTTTGTTTGATGGGTTAATTCTAGCCAATCGGATTGGATTTCGTGTGGCATTTGCTCTCCTATCCCTTGTGCATATCTCTATTATTTTATTTTATTTATTTATTTATTTATTTCTAATTGTGAACTAAATGTGCATCTATCTGTTGCTTTTTCCCAACGGCTATGTAGCCGAACCGAGTAATTTGGATTAAGACTTGTTGAGTTGAATTGTGTTGAGTTGAAAAGAGAAGAAGACAATAATTTAAAAGAGAATTTTATGTAACATATTTTCATTTATTTATTTAATTCGATGATCCTTTAGATAGAAAAGTTAAAAATTAAATTCCTTCAAAGTTGTCACTCTGTTTAGTTGTTTGGACTCATGTGACATGAATAGTTTACAAGTCCGATGATGTGCTGTCACATACGTCTTTTTTGACAGCAAATGAACAGTTCTATCTATGAACTTCCACCAGAAGTAATTTCTTTAGAATTAAATGATTCATTTGCTGTCACATAGGTATTTTTGACATGGATATTTCTGTCTATGAACTTCTACAACTAGTAATTTATTTTTATCTTTATTAAGTATGAAACTTTCCTTCAAATTTTTTTCAGTGTTTGGCGTCACCCATGAAGCACGGGTACGGTTTTGAATATTAGAATAGGTGTGATACGGGTATCTCGATACGGAAAGACCTAAAAAATAAGATACGGATATGATTGGGATACGTTAATAATTTTTTTTTTATTTTTTTATAATTCATAGTTTGAGATTCAATCTACAAATTAAAGTTCAGTACCAAAATTAAAAGGAGAAGTCACAAAATCAAAAGAGAAATTATAGTTCAACAATATCAATACCAATACCAAAGCAAAGTCTATAAGTTATTTTAATGCCATTAAATATGAAAAATTACAAAACAAAATTTCATTCCAAAACCAAGTTAAGCGAAATTTGAAAACATAAAACTTTAGTTTTCACTTCTATTAACTTCATCATTGAATAATACATCTTTCATCTCTGGTACATCAAGTAAAGGATTTACAATTTCAAGTAAATCAGAACTCTTTAATAAATTAAATGTATGTCTACCAGTGTCTAATAGTTTGGTGCACTTCAGATATACCCATCTTATACTCATGAAGTACCCATGAAGTATTCAACTGTCAAAGAATGTATAAAAAGTACCTGATACATATATTTCAAGTACACGGTACACATACAGTTCTATTACCAGTCCTCGATAAATATCCGGTACGAATATGGCAACATTTTCAGACTATCCGTACTTAATAAGGCGTCATCATGTTGAATGTATTAAAGGTGAATGACAATCTTGCATTTGTGACGATTATACGAAAGTGACAAGACTAGTTGGAAAGGAAACTAATCGAGAAACACCCCTTTTATCACCATCTTCATCCTCAGTATCTTTTATTCATCCTGTTTTTATTTGGGGAAATATTATGTTTTTAATTTTTTTGATGATGAGGAACCTCCCCAAGCTAAGTCGACATTCGACTCACCCTGCAGAGTAAATCCCGAATACTTGCAGTCACCAGTGGAGAAATATTGCTTATGTGTTCACTGTTCAAACTACACAGAAATCTTTTGTGAGGCAAAAAGTAATAGCAAAGGAAAGGTACATAATCTTCAAAATTTCATTGTAAAGTGAAGATAGTGGCATGATTTTATGAAGAGTTTTGAGAAAGAATCTTGACTGTCGAACATTGTGCTCATCATGTTGACAGTGAAAAGACTGCAATGAATTCCTGGTATATTTGTTTATTTGCTACATTCTAGTAAAATGTTTGAAAAAAAAAGGAGAGCTTGGCCCAACAGTGAGACCCGCCTTTGATGGTGTATGTATGTTCAAGTCACAATAATATTAAGGATCATGAAAAAAATATCATGAAATGTATCATGAAAATTTTCCATCATTTGATTAGTGTGTAGTGTTTTGTTGTATGTGTAATCTAAAGGTGGAGAATTTTTCATGATTATCTGCATGACATTTTTTTCATGATCTCTAACATTACTATTAGGGTAAGCTCTCCTTTATATACAATTTTACATTTACTTTTGGATTCTCATCAAATTCTGCTTTTAATAGAAGTTTTGTACACAGAACCAACTAGGCCTAGCCTAGTTGACTAACATGCCTCCCTTAGGGCTTAATTCCAAGAAGGTTATGGGTTCAATTCCCTTTAGGGGTTGAATTAAGGGAGTGTAAGCACTTAGATGTTTTGCCAAGGATGAGAAGATTTTCGCCCATAAGTACTAATCTAACAACTAACAACTAAAATTTGCCAAGGATGAGAAGATTTTCGCCCATAAGTACTAATCTAACAACTAACAACTAAAATTTGCCGATCAAATAAAAAAAAAATAGAAGTTTTGTACAATGAGTTTTTTTATTTTTTTTACTTTCTAGGACAGTTGGCTATATGGGCCTGTCTTTGTGTAAGGATAAGATGGTGTGTGGTGGCCATGGCTCAATCGAAAAGGGACAGGACGATGTGAGGGGACTCTTTGTTGCCTAATAACAACAAAAGAAAGGAAATTTTGGATTCTTAAATTAATCATGAGAGAGAGATGGTCAAAAACGTTTTCACATTTTACTTACATAAGATAATAATCATCAAACTTTGGCTAAAGTAAGGTACAAGAATCTCTTTGTTTTGTGGCTTCATTCATTCTTGCAGACCCTACTTTCTTTCTTTATAATAACTTGAACCTCACAAACAAGAAGGGGAGAGTTTCATTTGTCTGGTCTTCTTCATTGTTGCCTGTGACGTGTCATCATCTTATTATCCGACATGGCACCCCTCACACACTCTGCCATGTCCATAGTCAGGGTGGGTGCGGATGGGTGTGGATGAAGATTGAAGAGTCTTTTTGGATGTGTACACAAATGCAGGTGTTGGCATTAAAGCTTAATCCTACACGCCTCAATGTCATGGAGGGTCCATTGCACTATTGGCATTCTTGTGGGAAAGGTCATATTCTACTACTATGATGTGAGAGAAGTGTCCATAGGCAATGTATGGCAGCTCCAAATATATGCTATGTAACCCAAAATTAAGGTATACGCTGTAGATTTAAAATTAGTATGATATGAAGGTGCATTTATAAATTTTATAATCCATATATATATATATATATATTTTGTTATTATTCCCTTGGATTTTTTTGGGTAATTCACTCACTGTGCAAAAATTTTATTCAAAAAATTATTTAGAAATATCAATGCGTGGTTCAGATTTATGACACAAATCTCCACCACACACTTCAATTCATGACATAAATCTAGATTTAAATTTTAAAGTGTTACCATATGCACCTTGTTACGTGTTTTTGTAGTATGTTACGTATTTTTACGATAAATGTTATGCATTTTTTTATAAGAGTCGCACCAATTTATGGTTGAGAAATGAAATTATACATATATATATATATATATATTTGTAGTATTATTATGTATTTTGTGGTATTATTATACATTTTTTGTTTTAAAAAAGTTAGAATAAAAAAATATATAATATTATCACAAAATGCATAATTTAATTTCTTAACCACAAATTATTGTAATACCTATAAAAAAGTACATAATATTTACTATAAAAGTACATAATATTTATCATAAAAATACGTAACAGGTGCACTGTAATATTTTCCAACAAAGCATAAATAACTCCTTTTGCAACACTCTCTCCCTCTCATATTTCCACCTAGAAGTGTGTCTAATTCCAACTTTGAGCATTATCATTGAAACCAATTTTACTACTGAAGAATTGGATGCCTCTTTTAAAAAAGACGAATACTAAAATATCTAGAATTTTAGGAAACACAATCATGCATACTTTAAAAAGAAGAAAAAATATTCGATATAATAATAATAATATTATATCATTACCAATCCATAATATTACTAGTAACAGATTATCATGTAGGCACATTAATTTCACTACGCAAATATGTTAGAAATTGGACGCTCTTGTGGCATGACCCATGAATCTTTTGAACCTTATTCATATAAGTTTGAATTTGAATTCAAAACTTATTTGGATAACCATTCATGATATCTATCCCTCCGTTTGGGAAGTGAGTTGGTTTTTTGGCCTTTTTTGACTATTTTAGCCTGGACTAAAAAGTTTGGTTTGGGAAGGATTTTTTGGCTTTTTGATTTTTTTGACTTTTTTTGTGAGAGAAGAGTATAATGATTATGGGTTGGATGTGATGTTTTGTTTGTTGTGGCTAAAATAGTCTATTTTGTTTTTTGTGGCTATTTTAGCCCCAAAACCACTTGTCAAACACCACTTATATTTATTATATTAACTGATATGGATAGATTGATATATATAGTTATATATCAGATTATATATTTTATATAATATATTGATATCAGATACGTTATGTGATTTTTTTACCCATAACATTTTTTTATATACTCTCTCTCTAACTCTCTCCCATTAAGAGAACGATTCACTCTTTGCACTATGACTTGTGTGGGTGATACTCATATTGTGGTATCACTCCACTGCTAGGAGTTCGTTGTTCGCATTTTAGAAGCACGCGATTTATTCCTGATTTCAGGTTCTATCACCTAAAGGTATGATCTGAATGTTTTACCCGCTACGTTATACTTTGATTTACAAAATATAAAAATTATTATATCATTAATTACATTGGAGTAGTGAGATTCATCCTTCTATTTATTTATTTATTATTATTTGATAACGATGTGATCAGGGGCGGAGCTAGCAAGGGCCGGGGGGTCACGTGCCCCCTGGGTTTTGGAATATATATATTTTTTCAAAGCAAGCATAAAAAAATATTTTAAATAAAAGAATTTATAAAAATATTATTTTAAATGTGAATGATATTTTTAAAATAATAAGAATAATACTGGTTATTTTGATTGAAAATAAAATGATTACAATATTATTATCTATGAAAATTTTAATATAATGGTGATGT